TGCTTACAAGCATATGGCTAACAAATCAGTATTGCGGCTTACGTGTTAAAATTATCCCTTATCCCATTGTAGTTACTAGTAGGTGGCTCAAAGTGGCTAATTAAATATATTTCTCCAGTTATTGTCACAAATTAGAAGTTGTTACGTAAAAGTTCTGTCAGGGCTATTAACAAAATAATATCACAAAGAATTGTGTGCCGTAAGCCCGGGAGTATTCTGAGAAACTCAGGGCCAAGGTGAAACGGGATCCTTTGTTTCAAAATAAACATGGCGTCACAATCGAAATATTATGGTTCTTTTACTTTATATTTACTTTTATTACTTAAAGGATGATATAAGTTAACTTAACCTTACCTACTGTCTCAAGTGCGATTGCGGTAAGAGGTCTCGGGTTCGATTCCCGGTGGAGCAAAGTATTACTGGGTTATTAAAAAAAAATCTTCATGGTGTCTGGAATTTTGCCATATATGGCAATATGCTCACCCCCCATTACATAGGACCCATAACCTAAATAGCGAAACGTGGGTGTTACATTGTCAGTGGCATTAAGTGCCGTAATGTGCACCTCTGCCTAATCCTTCGGGGGATAAAAGGCGTGATGTTATGTTATGTTAACCTTACCTATTATATTGGTCGATTAGACGTTTGATAGCTTTAGGTTTTCGAAATCGACCGTCGACCGCACAACACAGTCATTAGCTGCGAACAAAGTTCAAAATAGGAGTCCCGGTCTAATTTGAAACTAGTCGAGTGTTGAAACGAAGTTTTTAAAATACAGTAAAGTACGGACTTTGTTATGCGGAATAGAAAAATATACACTTCATTTTTTCACAAGACTTGTTATAAAATAACAAATAAAATATAAAAACTTACTATAAACACACTTCTTACTTTCTAGGACCAAAATTAATATTGTAGTAGTTCCATAAAATAGTAAAGTTAAATATTTGCCCATATATTTACAGGTGTATGAGCATTTATTCGGTTTTTATTCGAGTGAACATTATAATTGACGCCCGCGGGCGCGCCGAGCGAGGCTGATACCAATAAATCTTTCAACTTACTACTGAAGTACTGACATCGGTGTATGGTGAAAGCGAAACTGTTCTGCTATTTCAGCTATTTATAAATACTTTTATACCAATGCTGTGTATTTGTTAGCTGTTAATCATTTATTTATTTATAGAGGGCATTTTTATGATTCTATGATTGCATTTACATTTTATAAAACAAAATCGACTCGCAATATTTACATCGATTTTGTATCATTTAGCCCGTATACACGAGACTTTTTTAACGCGCGTTAAAAATGCTCTCGTACGTTTGGCTTAGGGTTTTGTCGTAATTACGCATTTTACTATCTGAATAGGTATTTAATACTTACTTAGAAGCCTAAATGTAATATTTGTTACATAAAACAATTATCACGCAAAATAGAAGTCTAATCAATTTCCGTTTACATAACGACTTTCCCTACACATATTGTTCAAGTTCATATATTTGGTTTAGGTATATTGGGACTCGATCACGTTACATAAACGCAGGATAAGTATGTAACCATCGAGTTTCAGAGCTCTGATTAAAATGACAGAACAATGGCGGCCAGTCAGGCTTCACTTCATTACACACGATTCAGTGGACAGCAATACGTCTATCGGTGACATAATAATACAAAAATTATTATGTTCAGGCATTTTAGGGGCTGAAATTTATTTTACCTACATACCTACAATTAACTGTTTTGAATTTGAGTTCCCAACGATTCGATTTTTGAAATACTATATTATCCATGGGCGGTGCTGATAGCTTACCATCAAGTGATCCGTCTGTTCGTTTGTCCCTGTAAAGTTTCTGTTATCAACCATACTGGTTATTAAGAAATTGGCAAAAATACACAAATAAACTATGGAAAGGGCTGCACCTTTCCCATAATTTGTTTTGTGTATCATCTAAGACTGTAAATACAGTCTATTGTTCCTTGAAATGTATTTAACCAACACTATTACTTCTATTGTAATGGTTGGAATGATTGTCAAACACTAAATAAAATACCACGGGACGTCTCAAGCTAATTAGGGTGTCCATTGTCTTTTTTGCATAACGTTTTATCGCTTTTATAATTATTATTATTTACAAAACCATTTATCTTTTTAACTCAAATAATAATTAGCGAACCCGAAGACTCGTACTCGACTAACGAGGCAGATTAATGAATCGATGCGAAAACTAGTTTTATAGTACGTAGTAAAACACTTAAGCATTCATCAAGGACGTTAAAGGTACAACGCACTAGTAGTCACATATAAGGAACAAGACTTATTATAATATCTGCGGGAACAACTACCGGTCCTTTGCGCATTTTATTAAAAACCTATTATGACGTAGTTGAGACACGTTTTTTTGCTAGTAATGTTATGTCTTATATCCCTATAATTATCATCAGACGTGATTTCAAACTCTGTGGCATTTGCATCACTGAGAATTTTCTTAATAACTAATTAATAATGAATTGAACTCTTATTTTTTACAAAATTTGGTATCCAATGCGACTCTCAAGAAAACAGCTCTTTAATAGGCCGGCAATGCTCTCGTATCTCTTCTGGTTAATGAGTGGAGCTGATTGCTTAACACCATCATCGCAGACGGATTACTGTAAAAAGGCCCATTAGTTAATAATTACCTATATCATTAATTATTTCTACTAATAAGATTAGTCATCTAGTTTATCGGCATAAACATTTGAATACTTGGACAGAATTCCACATATTTCTCCTTATTCAATGATTCATCAATAGAATTCCAGAAAAGCCGGCCATTTTGAATTTCTTAACACATTCGATACAATAAGTTTTGTATTATAAACGCTATAATGAACTAATTCTCAGTTCACATGGTTTCCTTTCCATTGTTATTATTATTTCATGGTCTTCTGAAACCATTAAACTGGTTTCAACCTAAGAAAACAGTCGAAAGTTTGTTCATCGTATTTCTTTGACAATAGCTTTAATTGTAGTAACTGGAACTTCTAAAAAGCCTAAATTCCTATTGTTAGCATTTAAAGATCACATTAATGTTCCCTAAATTCTCCCAATTTTTAAGAGATTTTCAATTTATTTGCAATAAAATAGAGTTGAAAATGCGTTAAAGTAATTATTTATTTTAAAATACTGTTGTGTGTATAGGTAACCAAAATAACGAATGAGGTTTACTCACGTACCGCTTTTTAATCCCTAACGGAATGGCTTCAGGCTTGGGTTGAATCAACGCAGTCCTGCAAAGCCGAAAGCGAATAGCAAAAATATATTTTCCAAAAGTTCGAACATAGCAGGGTTTGGTTACCCATCGATATTTAATAAAAATGTGATTACTTTGGTTCAATTTTTAGTATGTAGTATCACTACATAGTATAAAACAAAGTCGCTATCCGCGGTCTGTCTGTCCCTGTGTATGCTTAGATATTTAAAACTATGCAACGTATTTTGATGTGGTTTTTTTTAATAGATAGAGTGATTCTTACGGAAGTTTTATCTGTATAATACATATATATTGCACCCGTGCGAAACCGTGGCGGGTCGCTAGTATATAGTATACCTCTAGTATGTACTCTAATAGTTTTCATCAAGAATGCGGAGCGGAACTTTTTAGTTGCGTGCAATTTAGGTTACATATTATTATGAGGTTCTTAAACTGTATGTTAGATCAAGTTCACATGACAAGCGTTCGATTCCCTCTTTTAACGCGCATTTATTACTACCTACTAACATTTCATTAAGGTAGTACGCGCGGCATGCTAACGCGCATTCGAACGCCGCGCGAGCGCCCGACTCTTATCAGTGCGCGGCAACGCAGGGCTCTTTTGTTTTCTGTGGTGTTTGTTCACTTCAGTGCGGGCTTTCGCCGGGTACAGACGTATTTTAGGACCGTCCTAAATATTCGCACAAAATTGAGTCTTCTCAATTCACGTCGTTTCTGCCGTCGATATAAATTCAAAATCAGTGTTTCTTCATCTTCGAACTTTTGCATCAATAAATTAAATGTAAGACCTCTACTGATCTTTGGCGGCCGCGGCAACGCGCGTTCAAAAAGTCCCACATGCGTGTGTCATTTGACACTACACAAATATAAATATGTTGGGCGTTTTGAACGCGCGTTGAACGCTTGTCATCTGAACGTGAAAATAAAATTTTCCAATAAGGAAGTGATTTTACTTATTTCTTTTTAATTATTCACACTACTGTTGTAGATATTTAGGTATCCTACATAAAGGGATTAACAGCCTAAATGTATATAGCAGTTGTCGAGAGTTACGGCTCTACGTGGTTTAATATAAGTTTTGCTCGGCTCAATGTTACAAGTGTGAGTAATTCTGTAATTGTGTCAGACAATATAGCATGTCGGTTTTGATTAATTTAGAGAAGCGTTAATTTTTACATAAGATTCAGGATTTTGTTCGTACTTATGTCTCAACACTACAATACAAGTTTTCAGTTTACTAATCAAGTAACGTAAATATTCAGCGAAATGTTTGTGCGCCTTCTCTCTAAACGACTACACCAATTATCGGATGATTATTTTTGCCATATTTATTATAGTCAAGGCATTGCCTTCAACAAATTCACTCAGATATCGAAACGGTGATTTGTATATCGCTAATTGAAATACCTTTAAGATTTTTTATGGATATAATTAGGTTTTTACTAAAGATTGTAGTCTAATTAATATTTCTTATTGTTACAGGTACGACAAGTGGGACCGGGACAGGGGCGGGGGGAGCGGCGGCGGCGGGGGCGCGCCGGCCGCCTGGCCCGGCCGCGACCGCGAGCGCGATCGAGAGCGCGAGCGGAAGGCGCGCGCGCACCAAATGTCGCAAGCGCACGCCGCCGAGCCCGACGCATCGTCGCTCTTCCCGGCGCCGTTCAGGGTTAGTACTCAGTCAACTATATGACAAATTAATATGTTCACTGCCACTGTCACACGCAAAGAAACCTGCAGATCTTCGCTCGTGTACAACACTCACGAAACCCACTTACATTCCAATAGTCATATTTATTCAAGAATCTTCGTCTTCAGCTAGATCGGTTACAAATCCCTTGTAGTAGGTTATGGCTGATGACCAATTACTGAGAATTCGGAAACCGAAACTCTAAATAATGTTGACCTACACTCACAGACACCCACGCTACACATGCAAACAATAATGCACTGCCATGGTCACACGTGTCTACAGCGACACACGTGGAATAATGTTCTTCCTGCACAAATGCTGATGCATTACATTCCAAATGGAAGATTTCTGTTTCATCATCGCCATTATGTAAACTTTTTCGTCCATTGCTGGACATTGGGTCTCTAATAGGACGCCATTGAGCCTTGAGCTTGATCTTCAATTCTTTGTATGCAACCACTGCCGGCCATTTTGCGATTTTGGCGAAACGTTGCTCCATGTAATTTGACAATAGCCAACACTTCGTTTTGTCTTTTAGTGGCGCGTGGTATTTTCTGTTTAACATCTTACCTGCCACATGCGTACCGATGACCCTTATTAGCGGAGGGTTTGTTTTAAAGACCTCTGTCGGCAGTCAAAGACTTAAAACGATATATTTTATCAAGGAAAGACAGTCATTAATACGGCAAATAATTTATTTGTGAATATGAATTATACTGTATTTTCACACTTCATGTTTACATGCCTATTTCTATCAATCTCGTTTGTAGAGGTATTGTACTTTTGTTTGTTTACATTGACAATGACGCCTACGATATTGAAAACTGCGTGGGACTACATAATAAAACATCCCACCGTTAGATGATACGCAAATTCTTGCCAAAATTGTCCCACAAAATAAACAATGTCAGAAACATCACGCTAGAAACTATAGAAGTTCCATCACATTCATCACGCAAAGTTCACGCGCATATGGTCTATTTCTAGGATCTCGAATGAGTTCAGCATTATCTTCTCCCAGAGAAGCCTCTACAGGCGTATTTTAACCACTTACTTTAGTAGTCCTACTTTGGTCAAAATTCTCAACTTGTCCAAACCATTTAGCTTACTGATACTTGTCTTTATTTTGGCCACTACATTCAAGTCACCCATTTTCTGTTTCACCGTAAACCCATAGTGCAGAAAAACATTCCCACGTGCGATTTTTCGAGCGAATCCTTGCTGTGTTTGTGCCAATCCTGGCCGTAAACGGCACAGTGGGCCCATATTTTCTACCCTCTAGGCAGAAATAGTTGCATTTTGTTTCTATTATACAACACATCCTATGATCTTCCATAGATCTTTCGTGGTATTGTAATGTAATTCATTAATGATCATTTGAAAATTAGACCTTTCCTCTCTTAGTTTAATCTATCTTGACTTCGAAAACCAACTCAAAGCTATTATTAATGTGCTTCGATTAGAATATAGATAATCATTTCAATTATTCACTTAATTACTTTCATGTATCCCGATATAGATAAGTTAAGTAGCCCAAACTCATTAGTACCTGATGTGTTCCAATTAAAAATTAATCAACATAACGCGTAAAAATAAAATGCGTTCGATTTCAAATGTCTATGCATCAATCAAGACGTTGGCAATAACAATCAGTCAATAAAGAAATCAATACGATAAAAACAGAAATAGTGTTCTTAAAATATTGCTATTCCAAGGAAAATTGCCCTCGGTATAAATAACTTGACGAGAGCAGTGGAACACGACGAGTTATGTTTTCTTATTTATTTCCTCCTATTTTAAGGAGTCCTCCAGAGGATACACTGAGAGTTGTGAAGGACGCTACCCACACACAACCTTCAACGCTTGTGCACTATTGCACACTTGAATCGAATCCTCTACTAAACTACACACATACACACGAACATAGAGTAAATAAACCGAAAGAGGACACGAGTCACGTAGTACATAAACTACACAGGTCGTATATACCTATTACTTATTCATCATCTGAAAGGGAAAATTTTAAGTCGAATCTCAGCGGAAACTTAATTTGCAGAATTGAGACTGATTCTAATTAGGGGTTTATTCATTAAACGACAATTACTTTATATACCAACCTTGAACAGAATACAACGAAGTTGGAATTTTTGCCGGCATTAGTATTCAGTGAGGTTGTCAAATGTATACAGAAATACATTTAAATTGAGCGAGTGTTCCGAATTGCTTTGCGTTCTGTGAATATTTTGGCCAACGAAAAAATATACGGGGATTTGCAAGTCCATTCATTTGCTAATAGAAATCGCAAATCATAACATCATGCTTGTTTTACTTTAAAAGGATAGACTGGAGTATGGTATCCTATCTTTTCCCATCATGTAGTTCATAGTTTGGTTGTTAATATTTAATATTAGGAGCCTTTTTACCCGATATTTGAATATTGAAATCGAATTGCCTATTAAATAAAGCGCACATGATAATAATGCTAGTAAAAGGATGTGTTGCAAAGACAGAAAACGCATGTTGCGAATTACGATTACCCAAACAAAGTTGTACTTATTTGTTTTATTTACATTTAGAAGTTGTAGCGATGTTTGCTTCAGCGAATCGTGTATAGTATAACGCTCGAATCCAAATGTTACATGCGATTCGCATAACGAAACAAATATGGCCGAACTTCTTATGTAAATACGACGAACGAAGTTTATCACAAAATTACCAATTTCATTCACAAACTGACTGACAATTTTTCAAACGAGTGCCTTAATAATATAAGTAATTGCAGTTTTGAATTTAACAACTTCTGACAATATTTTTTTTAGAAACTTAAACACGAAGTATTTTGATTTCTCGCCTGCGGCGCTGTCCGCGGCATTGCCCACGGTTCCGGTACAAAAAGTATCCATGTGTTAAACTGGGTCATGGTCTATTTATAAAACACTTTTCATCTAAATCCATTAAGTAGTTCTCGAGATTGAGTAACAAGTATTTAAACATACAAACATTTGCATTTATCACATTAGTGAGATTAATAGAATCGTTTAAATGTGATCAATTTATTTAGAACTTGAATACATGTGTTTATTGAGGTAGTGTCTAAAATGCAGTGTATCTTGTTAGTGCATTCCTTTGTTCTCGTCGGAGCACGCGCGCCGCAATCACGTGCCGATACTGAGCTTGCGCGTGTCACATTACTATGTCATAACACGAAAATTCCACATATCAATACAATACCAATGTAAACATACATACAGTTATCTGCCACGATCAAATAAGGTAATTAATTGTAACTACTTAGATTATCGTCGGCAGTTAATTAGTTTAGAGAGGCTATCAAACTCAGTGATAGGCAGATAGACATCTCTAGAGACGTTCCTACACTTTTTAGATCGATACTCGACAAATCGGAGCGTGAACTTTGTAGTTTTGATTCGAAACTGCGAAATTGTCTCTATAGTAGTTGTCAAACGAGTTTGAGTTGACCACAGACGATATCTTTATGCTAGGTTGACAAGGAACAATAGTGCAAGTACAGAGCGAGCCAGACATGGCCAGCCACACCCGTACTGTAAACAAAAGTTTCACTTAGCATTCAGGCTTTAGCTGTACAATACCGTCTTCGCGTTAGATCACTATATTGTACAAAGATAATGCACGCCACGCATGCAAACTGGGAGACACGTAACTTTAAATAGTAGACGCGGTTGCACAAATAACAGTTTCCTCGAAGCCTATCTACTTCTTGCGATATGAGTGTCTCCACAGATCGCGTGATCGGCCGCAGTAAAAGTGAAGTATGTGGTTTTATTGCCACCCGCACGTGCCGTGTTCGCATCTAGTCGTAGATACTGACTAGTCACTACCTACCTCAAACTGATAGCCACCGTTCGGCCACTTCAAGCAGGCCCCTGATAAGACACAAACACCCCTCGTCACTCATTAGTGCCGTTAAATGGACATCGGGTCGAGGGAGATCAAGTATGTTTGGACGTGCGACCAGTGTCAAGCGGGTTCGAGGCTGCCCGCTGTTTACGTGTCGACTTCGGTAATTACGTTGATACGTTCTGTTGGAGCGCTTTGTAAATTGCTGCCAAAATGATTTTAAAGTGCTCAAATGGAACAAGAAAATTAAGATAATGGACGTTGTTCGCCTATAAGACTTATGTTTATTTGCTTAAACTTTGTAACAAGTTTGTTTCGACACGTAATTTGTGTTTTAAAATGTTTGAACTTCCTAACTTTTTGCATGATGTTGTTCAGTTGTAGCCTTGTAGCGATTACGAAATCTGAACAGGAAAGATTACGTAACAAAGGAAGATATATTTGAATGGAGAAGTAGTTTTCTTGGAATGCAGTATTAACGAACTGTAAACTATGTCTGAAATAGTCGTGTCGGTCGCTGTAAAACAACAAAATGGCATGAAGCTGACGTACTTCCAAACATTTGTAGCAATTCTAAAGAAAAGGCACGGCGCGCACTCTGATCATAGTTAACAATGAACGCTCAGCAAATAATTTCCTTCTCGGGATTTTCTTTTATGCTCCGTAACCTCTCGTGCCCGCGCGGTTCACAATCGTATCTATCGATTTCACTTAATAACTTGACGCTTGAGATACTTTAATGTTTAATCATCTACCATCCGATCTTCGTCTCTATATAAGTCTGTACCTAACATATAAAAGTCCCTTACTTATTTTCAATAACACTTTGACCACGTTTAAGAGTTGTGACGTAGTGTCGTCGAAACAGCGCCAAAACGAAGTAGAGTTATAATAACTTTTTGAAAGCGGTCGGCTTATCTGAACCGGCGGGTGCACTCGCGCGACCCACTTTATGACAGCACATATGTGCATAAACACAAATATAACTGTAATTAAAGCTGCCTCGCCTCCCGCGCGCGGTAGGAAATGGAGCCGATAGGGGGACGAAGCTAGGCGCTCGTGGCTCGTTTGCTGGACATGTGGATCGAGCATGTGTG